TTGAATAGATGGACGAACGGACACAGAGACAGATGCATGGATGGACGCATGAACGGACGCAGGGGCGAATGCATGGACGAACGCAGGGACGGACGCACGAACAGACGCACGCACGGACGGGTGGATGGACGCATGGACGGTTACACAGATGGACGCATAGACAGACGGAAGCAAGAACGAATGGACGGACGAATGCTTCGCCCCACTCCCCATCATTAACTCCGTGGATATGCTGCCATTGTTTTTTTCATCCAGACGCGGGTATTTGAACCCATGCATACTCCCATGCTACGAAAGCGAGTGTCTTTAGCACTAGGCTACACACCCATGCGTCCACAAAGGGAATACATGTACAGTACATCTAAACCACATGAATGTGCCTCTTTGCGCAAAACAAATGCAGAAAGACAATTCTTACTAGTCATACTTCACTGTTTTCTGTTGTAAGGTATTAAATGTCCTAGGCGGAACATGATTTAGAGCTGATATAATAAAATTACACAAGTTAATAAAATTTCTTCTTGCAAACAGTTGATGTCAAACTTGGGTACTCAGTGTCCTCCTCATGAGGCTATTACATATCTTAACAAAAGAGTAAAAGCGAGCATGGGTATGCAATGTAGTTGTTGCTTAGACCTTTTCTTGCCTCAGTGGTTATAAAGTGTATTTCTCTATGCGGCCACTCGATCATAGAAGAAACACGATGAGATCCGTCAGATCAACCAGACATGTACTGCGCGAGCCTCTTCACTGCCGGTCTTCAGGGCCCCTGGACAGCAAAAGCCAATTATTTGCTAAAATCGGGAAGACAACTTTCAAGCAGCTTTTTTTTCTTGGAGCAGTCCTTTTTTTGGTTCCCAGAATCCTTTCCCTGCACGTTGTGCTTATGCAGCTTTTCCAGTTCCAGTGAAAGGGCGTTGACTCGACGTCAGCCGTGAGGCGCGATAATCTTTGAATAATAATAATAATAATAATAATAATAATAATAATAATAATAATAATAATAATAATAATGGTGCTCGCATACCTTTGCGATTCACTGAAAGCGTCACTCGGGATAGAGGGATGGGGTGGAGGGGCAAAAGCCGCTGGAGCAGCTGTCACCTGCAGCCACGTGTTAATAAACTCTGAAAAGCGGGTTAAAATTACTTAATCAAAAAATATCCACAAAGTACAGCTGAATTTCGACATCGTTTTACTACGTGCCTCAGAGGTGGTGGTAAACGTATGCCATTTACCGCCTTTCACTCCAACACGAGGTACTAATTTTAAACGCGAGAGAGCTTTTAAGGGTCATGAGCCGCAAGAACCCCCAAACTCAGATAGTCTTTGCTTACAGTGTAGATTACACTAGTCGTCACCCGTGACACTGCAAACAGAGAACTTTCGTCGGGCAGGCAAGACGTATAAAAATAAGGACCTGTAGCGAAACTATGAATACGTTTAGCAATTAAAAACCTAAAAGAAACATTATATTTAAAGGAATTACCTTCAAGACGCCCTAAACAAGGTTTACGATGAGGCGTGTTAACTGAATAGGCATGCAAAACTATAGCTAAGAGAATCCCCGTAGGGCAACCCAACCAGCAACCAGCATTTATAACTCACTACTCCAATGCACTACCAATCATAGATATTATCCTTCGTAAGTATTTTTCGAAATCGGCAACGAACGAGTGTCTTAAAAATCGGTTTCCGAAGTACCAATTGACATGTATCGCCGCGATAGAAATTTTAGGATTGTGTCAGTGCATGCAGAAGTGAACCCGCATTCTGCGGCTCACGAAACACATTGATCTCATCTAGGATGCAAGACTTGCAAACAAACAACTTCAAGATCTCGGGATAATTAAAAACACCGAAAGTGATTACGTTCACGATAAAAAACTTATTCTTACCTCTACTCGTTCAAACGTTGTCTGGATTATTGTATCTCGCTATCGTCACAAATGGTACAACGGTACAATGTATTAGGACTCAACTCCGGCGATCTCAAACCGTACATACTTCAATCTTCGCGTGAGCAAAATACAGAAATGTACAGTCTTACTTTATTCGCTGTTAAATACACTCCAGCCAGAGGGCATAAACGTTTCTAAATGTGCTCTTGATTGCATTCTATGTGGTACATACAGAGAAAAAAAAAACGGACAAGAATTTCAAACATACGATCATGAAGGAGGTGCATCTTCTGACAACCGTGATTCAGCGAAACGTCTGCCACCGCACTTAACCCCGTTTCCTTTTTTTTTCTTTTTATTCACGCGTAATACCACTTTTCTTTTCAGTGGCATGAATCGTCACGGTGCTCCTCCTTTCCCTCCCCCGTATTCACTGTTGCACTCTCCCCATACTTTGTTATGATGGAGGATTGGGTACGAAGCATATAGAAGCTTGCGCCAGGAAATTAAGTCCTATACACGATTTCCACCAGACATACGTCACAAAAGTGTGTTGGCGCTGTCGTCGGGCATTTAGTATCGCGAGGTAGGCAAAACTGCTGTTGTTTAACAAAGTAGGTGCTGTGTTTTTGCTAGTGCATGCGCTGTTTGTCGCCTTGCAAAAAAGAGAAAAATGTGTACCAATGAGCTGTCACAGATATTTGCGCGGGAGGGCAGAAGAAAGAGGAGCTAGGTTGTTTAGAAGCTGAGCTCCTCATAGCCTAACCTTGACTCGCGTCAGGCGTAACCGGCAGTATCGCCCGAACAGTATAATAGGCGGCGCTGTCTCGTCCCCATTTGTCGTATCATTTTCTGGATAGCGTTGGTCCGATGAAAAGGTGTGTAATAGAATGGTTGGATGGACAGACTAATGCACTGACAGATGGGAGCATGGACGAATGCTTCGCCCTACTCATCATCATTCGCTTCGTGGATATGCTGGTGTGTTCTTTTCAGTTTATGATTACAAAAACCGTCGCAATATTAGCCACGCCTGAGCCTGCCTTCGACACCAGTTCATAGGTTGTGTTTTTTGCAGTGGCTTACCCAACGAAAATGATTAGCTCTGTCAAGCGTTTGTCATTTAATGTGCGGCACGGAATTTTTTGGTATAACCATTGTTTGGAGGTATAGCGAGCATGTTTATGTCAAAGCACGTTAAGGTTGTGGACAGCATTGCCATATGCGAAGATATACGGAGAACGTTTCACTGTTGTCGTTGTATATATTACTGCAGAAATCTTGGACGCGTCAAAACGATTTTGTTATACTCGCGTGAACTAAAGATGTCAGTCAGATGGTCACGAAGCATGAGTTTATTCGTGGACACACTTCATTAGGACTGCAGTGAAGGAAATAATTAGACTATGGTTTGCCTGTCTATATGCGGCGGCGATGACACACCTGACACTTCGCGTATCCGGCAGGGCTGTTCTGGCTGCGGTGAGCTTCACTAGCTTTTCACGCTCGTGAGAATTCACAGGAAAACAGCAATCGGGAAACTAAAGTCTGTCTGCGGTCTGTCCACATTTCACGCCCTCCACTTGAGCGTACGAGTTGAGCCGCCGGCCTGGCACGCATGTAATGGCATAATTCTCAGCATGTAGTTGAAGCATTATCGCAAGCTTATTGATGATGAGTACCGCCGAGATCGCCCTGGTCATTTTTATGAATAACTTTTTTGGCGAAGTGGTTATGTGCGAGGATTTACTGTAATGATTCATGGCTGTGTATTTTTACACCGCGCATTTGCGTATCGTACATAAGAGCTTCTGGTGGGACTGGGTCGGTCGTTCTTGCATTACACAACAAATTACAATGTACACGCGTCATGTATACTGCCGCAATGGCGGTGGCGTTTCGCATTCTATTGCCATTCCCGTCGTTAAAGCTAGAGCTGCGCGTCAACAACGCTCATATGTTCATTTCCCCTGTAGCAGCTGCCGATTCTCAACATGCGAAAGGCGTCTCAAGTTGCCGTGCTCGGAAGCAGCTTTTGGACCTGATGGTGGTAGCGTGCACGCTTTCGGCTGGGACGACTGGGCGAACCCTCTGCACCGCCACGTCACCGCAATAAGCCTGCGTATATCGGTGGCGCTTGCCGCTGTTCACAGACATGGAGTCTTGAGGGAGACAAATCTACTTCATGAAAACCCCTGCTTACAGACTTTTTCATCACGAGCATTCCATCTTCCCTTACATTTTTGTGGTCTGTTTAATAAAACAGTGTACATTAATTCTTCCTTCGTGCTCCACAACTTTCCTAACAGAGCATAAAAGTGTGTTGATGTGTGCTTTTTGAAGGGATTGATATATGTGAAACGTCGTAACTCTGATAAAAGCTAGAATACTCTTTTTATCTTTGGACGGTAGGTATACTGGCATCTCCTGCGTTGTAGCAAGATACACGATCATCCCACCTCAGCATTCATCATAGTTCCACTTTCTTCGTATATTTCGTTTTATTATTTACTCGTTCGTTTAATAATTTATTATTTCAACCTGTCTTCCAAAAGTTTCTGACTTGTCTTTCAAACATTGTAGTTCCAAAACTCAAAAGCATCTTTTGTGCGCTCATGAATATTAGCCACGTGTCCACAATGCTCATGAAATATTCCATTACGGTAGGATGCTTAATGCTGTGTTCGCTTCCGCGACAGCACGCGACGACCGACAACAACGTGTCTTGTGTGTTCGCACAACAGAGAGTGCTTCCGTGATACAGGATCAAAAACTAGGCGCAGGAAAACAGAATAGTGTAAAACTGAAGTAACATGAATATACAGCTCCGTCATACGTCATTTTCATTTCTGTGTCTTTGCGCCTTTTGAATATAGGTTTTTCCAGAAGGTGAATAGAAAAACAAGCCCACTCTCACAAAGGATTATGAATTATGCCATTTCGTACCGCGACATCCGGTCAATATGCTGATGTACACGTTGTGGGTAACAACTTTGCGAGTAACAACACTCTTTCTCTGACCTGTCTCGCGCTCAACTACGGGTGTTAGTTGTTCAATTTCAGCTCCACACCAAAAAGTCACCATTCCTGTCCCTCCAGGTGGGCCGTGGTGCTCGCGGCCACTACCACTGCGTGGCGGCCAACAGCCTTGGCCAGTCGCGCAGCGAGCCGCTCTTCCTGCGCGTCCAGTTCGCCCCCGTGTGCCACGAGTCCCAGAAACTGATCTACGGGGCAGCCAGGCATGAACCGCTGCAGGTAAGCAGTAGACGCCAATCATTAACAGGTCGCAGGCTTCTTTTGAAGGGACACTAAAGAGCGAAAGAATTTCTCGCGTATTAGTAAAATACAGTTTCACACTAAACAAAATACCAATCTTACTGCAAGATTACCCTTAGTAGACGAAAAAAAGTGCAAAAAATGTGTGCCGATTCTATCTTGAGATTCCCAGCACCTATCAGTTTGACCTAAGAAGTTTTCAAGGTGTCTACTGGTTCCTACGTGGGTTCCAATTGATAAACGTCAAGTACATTGTAATGTCTGGAAGCCTAAGATTTAGCAAGAGAAGTTTCCGAAAGTTTTGTGGGACCATGCAATGCCGCAGAAATCCCAAAAGGACATTGTGAAATTAGTGTTTTCACGCGGCAGATTTTTGCGTGAAATTTGAAAATGAAACTTCAGCCTTCTCCACTAACAATGAACTTAAGATACTGAAATATAATGTATTAGAGTTTCCAGAGTGGGGTTTGTCAATTTAAATCAGGTCACTGTTTCTCTTTAGTGTCCCTTTAACAAACCTTTGAAAGTGCTATAAAATATTACGTTGGAGAGCAAGCCCTGATCAATTTCACGTAAGATATTGCTATTGTTACTATCACTTCTACCATTACCAATAATATTGCTACTGCTGTCACTGCTACTGCCTCTATCACTGGTACTACTGCTGATACTGCTCTTACTACTACCGTGGAATGGCTGATTGATTCACTGAAAGAGATGTTCAAAGATACCTGAGTTAGTCCCACACACCCATGTCTTATAGTCGGAAAGCTCAAGGTCTAGAAGCTTTAAAAATATTTTAAGTTGTGCAAAGGCGATTATTGATGTACAAGTCCCTTCACTATAGTTGTGCTTTTCGTACCAGCATAATATATTACGAGGCTAATTTGCACAGGTCTATGAAAATATATTATCGATGTAGCGCAGCCGCTGGTAAACAAGTCTGGCTCAACTGAGTCTTTTTAAAAAAGCTGGTATTTGTGAACTGCGTAATTAGGGTTCTCTTCATTGTGTATTTCGAAGTTAGAAGGAGTAAAAGAAAATAGACTTAAAAATAGGATGATAGCCAGTTCTTAGACTGTGCGGCCACCCTGTCTACCTGGAAAAAATATGTGACCTCGTAAAAGGAATTCTAGAAGGCACGTATGCTTGATGTGACTTTTTCTCCAGCAAAGCACGGTAAGTGCATACGCAAACTGTAACTTTTAAGAAAAATGGTTGTAGTTCAGTGACTTAAATTTTAAGTATGTCCATGCTATTTGTCTCATTTGATGGCACCACTTCCACTAAAGAATATCTGTGGCAGATCACCCGTGTTGTGAAAATGTTGTAATCCAGGTCACTCGAGCAAAAAGCAAAAGATAACACAAGGTGCTTAAAAGACTGCTTCCGTACTTCATTGGCCAAGTGAAAACTGTTCTGAATAAGAAGGTGCTTTCGATTCCCCAATTGTTAAATGGTCTAATTCAGTGGCATTTCCATTTAAATTGTTCGGGTTTGTTGACATTCTGCTGCTGCACAGGTGACATGCGACGTGGACGCCGATCCTCCAGAAGTTACCTTCCACTGGCACCTGAATCACTCCATGGAAACTGCTATACCACACAGCATGCAGGTAACTACTTTCTGCTTGGCAACTACTATTCTTTTCAGTTAAAGTTACATCGGTGTATTATAAATGCTTGAGATCAATACATTCGAGTAGAAAAAAGAGGGTTGGCAGTTCAGGTTCTAATATAGCGCACGAGGAAACCTATGCTGCTTTAGTCAATTATGTCTCGGAGTTTCGCTTCATGTATATTCGAGCCCCGCCGTGGTGGTCCAGTGGCTAAGGTACTCGGCTGCTGACCCGCAGGTCGCGGGTTTGAATCCCGGCTGCGGCGGCTGCATTTCCGATGGAGGCGGAAATGTTGTAGCCCCGTGTGCTCAGATTTGGGTGCACGTTAAAGAACCCCAGGTGGTCGAAATTTCCGGAGCCCTCCACTACGGCGTCTCTCATAATCATATGGTGGTTTTGGGACGTTAAACCCCACATATCAATCAATTCATGTATGTTCGATATGTTTATTTTGACAAGCATTCGCGTTTAACGCGGTGGCGAAAACATTCTCCCGCGGCTATGGGGCGCGAATTGAAGTGCAGGTAGGCTAGAAAATTTTTATATTATTCGTTTAATTTATAACTGAAAGTTTTCTGACGGCATGCTCTAAAACATTTTCCCAACGAGTCACACAAAGCTTCACTATAGAGCTCTGAACTATTTTGTCGTTAACTTTCAGAGAACATCCTGTGAGTCGTTTTTTTTTTTTTTGTCTGTGAAGAAGCGGCCTACGAGAAGGGAGGTGAACGATTTAAAGTCGGGGCTGTAAGTTCAAAAAAAAAGAAAAAGAAATTGGGAACCCTTAAGCTTCGACTTTAACAGTTGAACTCGATAGCGATATCCGGCCCCGAGGGCGGGCTTCAACCGCTAAGTGCATACTTATTAACATGCTTGTTTCACCCCCCCCCCCACGCACACACGCACGCACGCACGCACTCAGGCACGCATGCACACAAACGCGCGTGCGCGCAAGCATGACGTATTTAGAGTAATGTTACAGGTTTTCGATCTATTTAACAGCACTTTTATAACTCTTTCATTAAAATACAGTAAAGTGATACAGTCACATAGTCCTGTTATATGAACTGCGTGGAGGTGTGATACTTGAATTCGTAAACGGTCACACTCTATTCTCCGTCTTGCGTTAGTTATCTGGTAATTGTTCAGCTTGTTCTTCTGGAGACCTCTTCCGGCCAACTGCAACAAGCACCACCTTATTACCGGTGAAATTGCAACCGCAGTATTTTTATTCTTTAATGGTGTCGTGAGAATGAAAAGCTACATCTATGACAGTGTTGTGGTTTGTTGAAGTGGCGTTTCCTTGAATGAGCATAAGAGTCTCACAGTGTCTCACAGATGGCAGCACATTAACCAGCGTTTGCTGTTAGCTTGATGAACACCTATGGAAAGGCATGATATGTTTTACGCTAGATGGACGTGTACATTTTTAGAGCTGTTTGAAAGTTCCTGTGTGTTTTTAGCGACGATGGTTACACTATCCCGGCCTTTTTCGACATAGTTTGATGGCCTCCCGAATGCGCCTACAAATCGCCGAATGGGTTCGTTTTCGTTGTGGCACCTGTCGAGCAAGATGCGTAAAGGGGACTCCTTTCACTACATGGGATTTATTTAGTGTTTTTTTTCCTCGAAGCAGCTGTAAGTAACATCGTGGCTTTGTGGTAGGACGCCCGCTTGCCACGCGAACGGTCCGAGATCAAACCGCAAGGGGACCAAAATTTTTATTCTTTACTTTATTTGCTTCTTTCTCGATTTTTTCACTAACAACCAACAGTGCCGACATCAACGGCGGAATTTCCGCGACATGAGCTTTCTAACGCTGTCGCGTTAAAACACAAAACCAATCGCCTCACGACAATAAACGGAAACCGTATGTGAACAGCGACACAAACCTTTTTCAGTTATTTTGGGCTCTAAATAAAGACGGCGACAGAGTGAGTCTTGTCTTGAACAAACTTATTTTGAGCCATGAGAGCTGCGTCTGGAACACCAATCACGGTCAAGCTAATCTGTCTTTTTAACCATATATGAATGTACTTTTAGAGGAGAAAGCTTTTTATGCCGTGAGTCCTGTGTCCACGATGTATGTAGTAGTAGTTGTAGTAGTAGTAGTACACTTAGTAGTAGATAGCTACCTCTTGTTTAGTCCTCGGAATGTCCGCTGGATGGCGGTGCTTCTATACGATGAATGTATGGTGACAAAATGCGAGATGGTGGTACTTGGAGTGTTCACTAGATGGACTGATGGACGGACGCACACACGGACGGACACGCAGAGGGACATACTGACAAGCAAACAGACGAACGCAAGGATGGATGGACACACGAACGGACGCATAGATGAACGAACGGATGAACGGACGGACGCACGAACGGAAGTATGCATGGACAGACGGATTAATGTACGCATGGACGGTCGCACAGACGGTCACAAGGACGGAAAGAAGCAAGAACGAATAGACCAACGGAAATGTGGACGGACTGACATTACTTCGCCCTACTCATCATCATGAAGTCCGTGGATATGCTGGGATTTTTTCCCCTTCTCCTTTTGCTATAAGCTCGTTTTAGCTGCTTGCCAACAGTAGCACAATGCAGCACCGATAAAATATGCCGCTATTTTAGGGTCGAAGCTCCTTATAGCGGCACGCGTTCGTCCCTCGTAGCCATTGTAGTGTGTAACGAGTATAACATTTTGACCTCCAAGGTGGTGCCGTTGAGAAATTTCTTCTATGCGTTGTTGAACAATAAAAAATAGTGCTCAATGTACATGCCAATGCCTGCTAATGGGAAATGAGAGAGAGGAGCATTCGGCTTTTAGTTAACGCGCACGCTGCGATCCCCATTAGCAGCCATTGACATGTACATTGAGCACTATCTGACAATAAAGGGTTGCTAAGTTATACTCGCTGGGTGTAACCTCCTTAGTTTTAGAAAGGTTTAGTGAGAGAGAGAGAGTAAAACTTTATTGAAGGGGAAAGGGAGAGGGGCGTTTTAGAGCCTTTATGGTTGGGGCCCTACGTCCAGGGCTCCACTGGCCTTAGCCGCCCGCCGGACTTGATCCAGTAGTGCGAGCTGCACTCCTGGGTCCGAGCTAGCGAGGTGTGCCTCCCACTGCTCCATACTAGGTGTTAAAGGTTCGCCGAGAAAATTGGTTATGTCGCTTGGTTTACGATCGCACCCCCACGATATGTGGTAGAGAGTCGGTCTTCCGCCGCACCACGGACATACAGCCGGGTAAAGAGTTGGATGTATCGCGTGTAACTTCAGTAGGTGCGGAAATACATCCGTTTGAATTTTTCTAAGGTCAGTGGCCTCTTCCCCATTAAGGGATCTGTGAGGTGTTCCACATTTTTGACGCGTGAAGCGCTGGTGAGCTAGAATCTCCCTAGGTAAAATTGGCATGGTCAATGAAAGAGATGGATTCTCCGCTCGGTTACAAAACGCACGAGCTAGAGCGTCCGCCCTTTCATTGCCTTCGAGACCTGCGTGTCCCGGGCACCAGATCAAGCGATGGTGGTGAGTGAGTTTGGATCCTAGCAGCCTCAGCCCCATTGCTGGAAGGCGGCCCCTTAAAAAGAGCCGGCAGGCTTCCTGGGAGTCGGATAAAATAACTGATGGCTCCCCTCTACGCTCCTGAAACCTTAAAAAAGGTTTAGTGAGCGTCGAGCTGCAGTGCCATGAATACAATGAACTAGTACATACCATAAACTCGAGGTGGTTAAAGGTGGGAAGCAGATACGAAGCGCAAGCCGTAAGAAAGTAAAAGCCGAATTCTCCTGTCTCTCATTCCCCTATAGCAGCCATTGGCATGTACATTGAGCACTATCTGACAGGAAAAGGTTGCTACGTTATACTCGCTGGGCGTAACCTCCTTGGTTTTAGAAAGGTTTAGCGAGCGTTGGGGCGCAGTGCCATGAATACAGTGAACTATTATATACCATGAACTCGAGGTGGTTAAAGGTGGGAGGTAGACCCGAAGCGCAAGCCGTAAGAAAGTGTGCGTGTGCCACCTCTCGTTTAGTCCTTGGAATGTCCGTTGGATGGTGGTGCTTCTATATGGGGAATACATGATGAAAAGATGCGAGATGGTGGTACTTGGAGTGTTAAATAGATGGACGAACGGACACACAGACAGACGCATGGATGGACGCATGAACGGACGCAGGGGCTGATGCATGGATGAACGCAGGGACGGACGCAAGAACAGACGCACGCATGGACGGGCGGATGGACGCATCGACGGTCACACATACGGACGCATGGACGGACAGAAGCAAGAATGAATTGACGGACGAATGCTTCGCCCCACTCTCCATCATTCACTCCGGGAATTGCTGCCATTTTTTACAGAGAATACTGGCAGGACTACCGCTAATGACACGGTACTGCCATCACATCGCGACACCACTAAATCTTGCCTGCCGAGATCTGGCTCAACGGCACGGGTCTCGACATCGTTGTAACATCAATGCTGATTTAACGAGCCTGCGGTGGTCAAAATTTTCGGAGCCCTCCAATACGGCGTCTCTTATAATCATATGGTAGTTTTGGGACGTTAAAACTCACATATCAATCAATCAATTAACCAGTCATCATTTGTGTCCGCGGTCTTTAAGAAACTATCATCATCAAAAACGGCTGTATGGCACATAAACTGGGTAAATCGCATTACTCCCCACTGCTCTACTGAAAATGAAGAAACCAGCCGTTAGCTCAACACTGTAGGTTACGAAAAGGGCAACTGCGACTAAAACGGGACCCCGAGGTGATGGAAAGTTTACGCCGACGGCTCATAGAGCTATGAGAGGTGGTAATGCTTGGTTTCAACGAAAGTTCCTGTTTATTTGCATGGCCCATTTCTGTCATGTCTGTGATAGTGTGTGGTTTGACACGAATCTCTCTGCACTGAGAATCAACACAGAAATAACATTTAGCTAAAGCCTAATAAATGCCTAACAGAAACGTAAGAAGAATTCTTATCACCTACGTAAAGCCTAAAAAAAACCTAGAAGCAGTCACATTAGTCTTTAGAATCATCCAGTTTCGTTTTTCAAAATTTGCGCAGCTCAATACGAACTTTGCCATTTTTTAGAGTACATCGTTCTTATTTACAAGCAGTCCGTAGTATCAATGCACTAAAGATTTTAGAGTTTAACCTGACACTCGGTGTGGTCGGGGTACAGTTGCAAGCCCATTTCATGGTCGGTCGTTGTACGTGGTAAAGTATTGAGTGTCCTTGGTCTAAGCTTGTTCATCGAACATGAATTGCATTTTGTGTATTCTGTTCGTAGCTTTTCTCTTCTTCCCGGATTCATTGCAGGCTGCCGGTTTTCTGTAAGGAACGATGCTTTTAATTACCAAATGCCCCATCTTTTCTAAGTTACTAAATCACAGTCAGAACAACAAACATGGGTTATCGCGCTTGGATTGTATATGCTAATAAGAAAACTTACATCAGTATCGCTGCATGGTTATGATAAGTGCTGCAACATGCGGTACTGAAACTGCATAAAGAGGTTTTCCTTTCTTGTACAGTACTGTATCGCTTAAGATCATAGCTCGTTAGACATCCTTTTATTATGTATTTGAATGGATGACGCGCACAAATAAAAAAAGGAGTGCGAAGCCATAGAAAAATGACAGAATATCCATGGCCCGGGTGAATGATGGAGAGCGGAGTGAAGCTGGGTCCACACACCGCTACCACACCGCTTCGGCCTCCCGTTCTCGTACGCCGGGATCTTGTCGGAGCGGCCGCGAAGCTTCACAGCACGCTTCTGCCTCGTGCGCTCGCACATCGGGGTTCCGTCTTCGAGCACCAGCCGCCGCCTTTCGCGCACGCTACTCTGCAGCTTTGTCTATCCGCCGACCTTTGGACGTACGCGCGCACCAAAACGACTTTTATTTTACTACACCACGCCCCCTAGCGTACGGCGCCGCCGACGAACACGCGATCACCATCGTCTTCGTGTGACGTCATTCCTAAATTCTCGCGCGCTCGCACATCGGGGTTCATTCTTCGAGCGCGAGTGGCCACCGCCTTGCGCGCATCATACTTTCTATCGGCAAACCGTGAATCATTCGCTGGTCGCGTCCGTCCGTTCGTCTTTGGTCTGTCTGTTTGACGCACAGACAGACGTACGCCTAGACGGATGCACGAATGAACGGGCGCACGGATGGACGGATGGACGCTTGGATAATCGAATGGACGGAAGAACGCATGGAAGAAAGCAGGAACGGATGGATGGACGGGCGGGTGGGCGGACGGATGCACAGATGCACGCACGGATGGACGCACGAGAGAACTGACGGATGGACGCGTGGACGGATGCATGGACGAACAGATGGACGGATTGATAGACGCACGGATGGACGGAAGTAAGAACGAACGGACGGCCGGAAGCAAGGACGAAATGACGGACGCTTCGCCCCACTCATCATCATTCCCTTTATGGAAATGCCGTGATATTTATTATTTATGATACTACAAGTAACGTCCTCTAGTATGGTACCACTTGCATTTTTCAGCATATATGCATTTTGTCGTTTTACAAGTACCACCCTCAACGGTCGGTTCAAGAACTAATGAGAGGTGGCTACATAGGATTACGACTGAATGCCCAGTCCATGCCTTAAGGAGCTCGGCTTCTAAAATAATTTACGGGGCCTTCATTCCTTCAGAGCGCGGGTACCTGCAGTCGGTAGCGTTTTGTGGATATAAAATAAAATTACTCGAGTTGCGAACCTTGTGTGACACGACCCCGTGCGGAAAAAATCGTCTTGTATAAAATTCTCTTGCAACAGTGTGCTAGAATGCTGCAGTTCGGAACGACATAAAGGTAGATGTTCGATGGGAAAAAATCTGAAAAGTGAAGTTAAATATGAGTGTTAAGTACGCCTATACAGAAAGAAGTGGTGTGATTTCTGTCGTGTCGGAAATTCGGGGTACGCGATCAATCCACTTGCAGAAGTGCTCACGATGTGTGTCAGCAAAACGGCAAATAAAAGTTTAATACCACGGTGTGCAAATAACACTGGTGCACCATTGTAGGGGTAAATTGCGTCTTGAGAGTCCTTCATTGAATATATAGTACAGGCAGACGCTTGTATTAGCGGGAAATGCCCCCCTCCCCCAAATCAACCTAGGGCTCAACATGGATGAGCAGTTGCGAGATGGCCTCTGCGTTGACGCTCCTGAAAACAGCGTCTTCGCGATGAAGGGATAAAAGAACTTTATTTGTAATCTTAAGAAACGCGACTAGCGCGCAGGGGGCGATGATCATTCAGTTTTGAATTTTCAAGCCTAACTACAATAGATGAGTATATGTTGCAGGAGTGTCAAGCGCCATCTTGAATGTGAACTCGTGCTTTCCTTATGACTTGCTTGTTGTTATTCGATGCACAGAGTCCGCTCTACTGCTTCTGGCGTGAAAATGCGCTTCGCGCAGTAGTGATCCCTGATGGCTGACTCTGTGCCGTGCTTTAAACAATAAAGGAATCAAAACAGGGTCTGTTTTTCTCGTCAACCTTCCCCTTCCTTTCTCGGACACATCCCGCATCTTCCCTTGTTGCCAACTGCTGCCTATGTTGTAGGGCCGATGTGCTCGCCAGGCTGCTGATGCAAAACCACTTTTATAACTTTGTCGCAGGGTGCCACGCGTTCGGTGGCCACCTTCATCGCTCGCTCAGAGGCTGACTACGGGGCTCTGAGCTGCGAGGCACGCAACTCCGTGGGGCCGCAGAGAAGACCCTGCCTCTTCAGCGTTGTTCCGGCGGGACCACCCGAGCCTCCAGGTCTATGCGCACTCGCAAACCAGACCGAAGAGGCCTTTCAGGTCGGTGCTCCGAATGACATTGTTGGGTTGTGCCGGTACGACAGTATAAACGTGGAAGGGAATTCGAAAAATGAAGAGCGAGTACGGATAGAATATTTATCAAATGATTTTGCATATGAATAGTATGACTGTTAGTTTTCGCAAACAACTTTTTGCATCAATTTTTTAGATAAAAGAGGCTACAAGAATATTTATACCACGCTCTTCATTGAGAGTATTACATATGCAGTTACTTAGGATCATCTGAAATGGTTGGTATTTGCATATGATTTTAAAAAAACGAGTGACGCTCTTTGTGTGTGCATGACTCCTGTTTACAACGAGAACTATCACTCACTAGACAAACTAGCACTTATGTGGCAACCCATATCCTATGAGTTTGATATTCAAAGCATGGTTTCTCTCTAGCGTGGAGCAATGACAACATGTCAACGCGATGTTGATTGCAGCTTCATTGTATGATAACCCAGAATAATTCTGAGTTTCCCTACTTTAGATGTTCCTCCATAATTTTGCTAATGATTACCATTTGTTTAAGTAGGTTTTATTTGTCACTGGTCGGGCATCCTGCTGCAACGTGCTCGGTCTAATGCACAATGCCATGCCCTAACCACCACGCTTGATTTCTAGCACAATATTTACAAAAGCGCAATAGCAGGATGCGAAAAAATTGTGTAATGTGACCGCTGAAACTAATTTGTCCATTCGTACATCGGCGTAAATGATTTTATGACCTGGCCGCCTTGTGTTTTTGTTCAAGAGTTATAGTTTTTGCAGTGTTTGGATATTTAGAATAGTAAAGTGCCTTGTGTATTGCATTGGATACCGCATTGGCCAAATCAAACATTCGAACTTCCCAATAATCATATCACCCAAATCTATAGATATGCATTGACCCAAAAGGTTGATATAATGTAGGCAGTTCATCATCACCATTTATTAACCCTTTAAGGCCTATACAAGGCATTACATAAGGGAAGACAATATCAGGGATTGACACAAATGCAGTGTTTGAATAGTAAATAAAATATCAAAGTAATTATACAGCAAATAAACAAAAGAAGGGGTGAAGCAATGAACGCGATAGCAATTAGTTGTAAGGTCACGCACAGAATTGAAAGCAGATCAAAACATGCCCGTGCAGTGGTTGTAGTAGTTTTATAGAGCGTGGTTTAACGAAGCTACCAAGACAAACAACGCATTGCACCTCTACATCCCACATATCGTTTTTTATTCTTGTAGTTCTTCCTCCACGCAGCTGCCACTGCGTCAACGGACAAACAGTCCGCCACTCATAGCAATGAAGCGCCAATCCCGTGCCAGCCAAGAACCCCTGGTTATGTGATATTCATTTGATGCTCTCTTCTTTTCTGTTCCCTGTTTGTCCAGGTCCGCTGTATTGAAGGCCATCATGGAGGCCTTCCTCAACATTTCGTCCTCGAGATCCACGACAGTGGGGGTCGATTTCGCGGAAACGTGACCTCACCCATGCCATATTTCGAGGCGAGTCTCAAGCAATGTTATACCACTCACTTCAAATACCGTGCACGCCTTGTTGCTTTTAAGTATAAGGGCCCAGCAAGTAAAACAGACGTCATCATGGAGGGCTACGTATGGGCATTCGATATATGACTCCTTCACTGCCTTGCAACTCTTTGTGTCTGTGAGTTTAATAGAAGGACAAAGAAAAGCGCGAAAATATGGCGCCAACTAAAACGACTCCTTCCATCTCGTGATGTTTGTTCAGTGGTCAAAATGTGTCGTGAACGTGCCGAGTTGTCCTCGGCGTTTCTCTAGTATTTTGACTTTGCTGTCAGCTAAAGTCAACAATACGTTTGGGGGGACAGCTTTTTCGCGCTTGCTTTTAGGCTCTATTGCAGATGTCTGAAACACGCAACTCGTGAGCCGCATGTTTGAAACTCCTGCCTGCGGCGCGCAGATGTTTCATCAGCGGTCTCGTCCGGAGATGACTGTATTTGGCAAATGTTTTTTTTTAATATTTTGAATACGTTTCCTCACGAGTTCACAGGCATGACTAGTATGATTGCGAAAATTGTTCTCATGGAGCACCCCTGCTCTCACCATGTGTCGAGATATAAGCGTGACACAAAAAAACTATATTTGGGAATGGGTGACCATTTAATAAAGTTTCATGGTTTCAACCACATCACTAGCTACAGCTTTGATCAGCCTATGGGTTTATTTTGTGCTCGATATTTGCGCGTCCGGAACATTTTTATACGTGTCTCACACATGTATCATTCATGATACTTTCAGTGTGAAGCCTCAAACAGCATATAGCTACCGATCTCCTCGATAGTTAAGGCAGCTTCGCCCTAGAGGTTGGAGAACCTTTTGCTGGGCCTGTTGGTACAAACTTGAAGAAACGAAGAACGTCCTAGTGGTGCCAAGCCTGAAAGAAGTGCGGTGCTCTTAGGTGTTGTTTCTCTTTGGTTTTCTGTCTTTTTTCCCTCTCTTTATTTCTATTGTCTTTTCCAGCTTTTTTCTGTGCGGTTTTCTCTGTATTTCTATTTTGCGTCGTATTTTCTCTTTTTTCTATCTTTCCATTTACCTCGTGCTTCCTCCCCATTTTCCTACGTAGTTAGTGTTGTGGTGTTTTCATAGTCATAGTGTAAATGTCCGCCCTTGATATCATTATCAAGACGGTCGAGGAACAAGAGCTCTCTTTGGCGCGAGCACGTGGTATTTATGCTACAGCTGGCTATGTGTTCCATGTGATCTTGCCTGGGTTAAGCCAAGGGACAACGACAGCATGCAGCAGTCTAACCCGGTAAAGAGCAAAAAAAAGTGACTTGCAGACTTAAGGTAATTCACTGGCTAGAGAAAAGCTGTTTTTGTGGCATTCCCGCAGGTACCTACACTACCTTGAAACACTCTTGTCTTCCAGTTTTTTTCGGAAAATAACTTGAACTACAGTCAACATTACCCTGCTTAATCCTACACAATCTCTTACTGCCCACCACTTTACCCTACGTCAAAAATAGCACAATGCAAAAATAAAAAGGCACGATCTACTCTTCACTGTACCACATACAGACATTCAGTAGCGCTGAAGTCAGTAACTGCTCTCAAATTTGTGTGAAAAATTTTTAAAGACACAATAAAGAACAAAAAGGGCAAACGATGGGAAGCGAAAGCGTTCCGGCATTTGCATTGGAAGACGGTTGACTCGCAGTTGAGAAAAAGAAAGTGTCCTCGCGTCACCGAAGAGAATCGTGAGGAAAAGTGATTGCATATCTTGCGTCAAGAGTACTGAAGTATTAATTTTATTGGAGCAAATTATTACCGAGACGAGAATTTGTACCGTAACCATTCGTTTGCACATGGTTGAGTCAACGAACGGTTGAGAATGGGGGGCGCGCTTCACTCCGTTTATATAAACGTACGAGTGAGCGGATGAGAGAGCGGGGCATAGGGAGGAGAGAGTTAACGGCGAGAGAAGGAACGGCGAAGCACTGCACCTGTCATTGTACCCGACAGCCATAATGTCAGCGTCTTATGAACACAAACGCTACACTAACACTCGCAGCACAAGCACTACAAACGCTTTTCAAACGCACTGAATTGAGGCAGTGGCAAGTCACGTTTAAGTCAAGGAGGTGGGGCTCTGGTTGTTAGAGGCGAAGATAAGCGCGCGTGCCCACAGGTGTTGCTCACAACTCCTGACACCGAAGTGTCACATGGTGAGGGCTCCGGTTGCTCTCTCGCAGCTGTGCTTTGGGAGAGGGTGGTGGATGGATCCCCACTGACTCGTGACAGAACCCGATCAAGAAATGCATTCGTATTAAAAAAAACTAGGAGACTAATCATCAAGTAAACGGAATGCACTGTAAGTGATATGATGACAAAGAGCGTTAATGGAAATGTCATACAGGTGGAAAAGAATTATTGCATAAAAGTAGTGGAACCGCTTGTTTACAGGAGGTTTTCAGGGCCCTAGATTGGGAAGAGTCAGGGATTATAGTTAATCGAAAGTATCTTAATAACTTGCAATTCGCTGATGACATTGCCTCCATGAGTAACTCTGGGGACGAATTACAGCTCATGCTTAGTAAACTGGACAAGAAAACAAAAGAATAGGTCAGAACTTGAATATGCACAAAACTAAAGTATTGTGCAACAGTCTCGGCAGGAAACACCGCTTCGCAATAGGTGGAAAGACGCTGGAGTTTGTAGAGAAATACGTCTAGTTAGGACGGGTAGTAGCTGCGAAGCCGAACCACGAGAGTGAAATAACTAGAAAATAAAGATGGGGTGGATCACCTTCGGCAAGTATTCTGAAATCACAAACGGTAATCTGCCACTAACCATCAGGACGAAAGTATATAACAGCTGCATCTTGCTGGTACTTACCTACAGAGCAGAAACCTGGAGGCTTAAGAAGAGGGTTCAGCTTGAATTGAGGATGACGCAGCGAGCGATGAGAAGGAAATTGATAGGCGTAACCTTAAGAGACAACAAGACAGCAGAGTAGTTCACAGGGAACAAACGGGGGTTAAGTATATCATATTTGAAATCAAGAAGAAATGGACGTGGCTCGAGCACGTAGCGCATAGGCAGGATAACTACTGGTCATTAAAGGTAACTGACTGGATCACCAGAGTAGGCAAAAGCACGAAGGGGAGACAGAAAGTTAGGTGGCCGACAAGAATAAAAAAATCACAGCATATTCACGGATTGAATCATGATAAGTGGGGCGAAGCGTTCGTCCATCATGTACGTCCGTCCGTGCATGCGGTCATGCGTCCGATCGCGTTCGAGAATGCAGATGGCGTGCAGGTAACACCGGCGATACGCAAGCCAAGGAAGCCGAGCGCAAACGTCTTCAACGCGCCTGCTTCTCTGCTCGGCCCATGGCCCACCAACGATCTGCCACGCACGGCGACTATTCAGGTGTCTGAGAGAGGCACGCGTTCGCGTACTCTGGCAAAGCACGCGCAGCAGCGAATGGGAGAGTAGCGGCACTTAGTAGAGTAGCAGCAGAGAAACGCCATCTAGCAAATGAGACGAGAAATGGTCATCCATTTCTTTCGCAATCTTTTCTTTGTCGTCTCTTCTATTCTCGGTTACGTGTGACTAGTGACAAAGTTAGGCTATAAAGAGCTTCGCCCCTGAAACTTCGTATAACGTGGCAGCAGAAAGCACAGGACCGGGTTGATTGGATGGTTATGAAAGAGGCATTTGCCCTCCTGCGGGTGGTCTAGCTGATGATAATGATGATAAGGATGGAGGGAAGTAAACCGACTCGGAAATCTACTGAAAGGTCAATGGCAAAATAAGTAAGGATAGGCTTACGATATTTGAAGTGAATGCACTTTGCTGCTAGAACTGAGGTCGGGTTGCCTTTGTGCGCATAATGATAAAGTGAGGTTCAGTGAAGATGAAAAATGCTAATGCGAGGGCAAGGTCGGATTAGTAGACAGACAGACAGACAGACAGACAGACAGACAGACAGACAGACAGACAGGCAGGCAGGCAGGCAGGCAGGCAGGCAGGCAGGCAGGCAGGCAGGCAGGCAGGCAGGCAGGCAGACGGACGGACGGATGGACGGACAGAGGGATAGATGGATGGACGGACGGACGGACGGACAGAGGGATGCACCGATAGACAGATAGAGGATTCGCGGTTTATCAATAAAACCAGTGGAAGCTTAACGCTCCACTGATCATCATTCACTCCGTGGACGTCCTGCAATCTTTTAGGTCATGTTTGACAGAATAGTGACGATGATGATTTTAGTGTGTAGGGCATATTGTTTTATAATTTAATCACCGCAAAAAAGGATGTCACTTTGACATAGTCTGTGTTAAATTTAGATAAAAGAAAGTGGTTATCACGGACTAACCGAGTGCTATTTGTATTTGTGAGTGATATAGGATCAATTATTTCACACAGAGGTTGTTGGTAAGCTGTTTAAACAATATTATGAATAATTGAATACCAAGCAAGCCAGACACAGTTAGAATGAGGTTACCTTGAAGCAGCGCGCTAGCTTTAGAATAAATAGCACTTTTGGTAATAATGCGAATGGTCTGAGTCTGGATGTGCCGAATGGATGAAAGATGAGTATTATATGTTTTTCCCGAGGAAGTATTACCATGGTGGCTGTGCCTATATATGAACAAAAAGTATAAGGACAACAAGGCGTCAAGTGAAAAAAAAATGAATCAGCTTCTTTGAGTGATCTTATACCGAATGCGTTTTTTTATTAACAAAAAAAAATGTGGTAAGTGAATTGCAAGTAATGGTCTAAATTTATGCCTAGAAAACACACAGTCAGAGTAGTGGTAGTTTGGGCAAGTTCGTACGTCATGGCGATAGTTACAGCGCGAGAACGGAACGACGACAAAGAGACAGGAAGGACACGAGCGTTCGTGTCCTTGTCTTTTTGTCGTCATTGTTCTCTCGTGCTATAATTATTGGCACAGTCAGAGGAAGGATTGAAATGGCTGTCAATGGACAATTGTGGTACGAATAGAAGA